GCCAGACAATTTCAAACTCAATACTAATTACAACACCTATTAACAAAATGTTCTTTTAAGTGAGAGCTGAACAGGCATGAGGTAAGCCTTATTGAGTTTTTACCTGTCATTTATTGAAAACATTCTTAAGAATGTAATAAAAATATATCATTGTTTAGAGTCAATGCTAATCCATTTAAGAATCTTACCACTCATGTAAGAGGGAAATGTAAGAGGAAAAATTATGTGGGAAAATAACTTGCAACATCATTTGCAAGCACAAACACAATTTAGGTCCAGAAGTCGAGGGCAAATGGATTTTCCCTATATCAATCACTTATTTTTTGGTACAAATGATATAGTTCACAAAAAATGAGCATGCATTATTGATTATTGGGTGTACCTAAAGATACCAGGTTGAGGGTACCTTTGAAAACTAGGCCCTTCATATTCATTCCACTGGCTTCCTGTTCTCCACCACATCAAGATTAAACTTCTAGTTTCCCCTTAAAGGCCTTCAACTGCCCCACACTCTGCCCTGCCTGCATATCCACTTTAGTCCCTTATCATAGTTCCCTGTTTCCCAATAACGTCAGCCTCTCCCACAAACATTTTTGTATTCTTCTTGTCACAGTACCCCCTATGCTTGGAGTGCCGCACAAGCCAAGTCCACTCAGTCACTAAGTATCAACGAAATCATTCAAAACTCACTTAAATTCATATAATCACAGAAATGGAGGGCTGGAAGGAACCACAGGAGATCTAGTCCAGCCTACCACAGTGAAGCAGGACCATTTATACTTAGACCATCCCTGATCAGTATTTATCTAATCTGTTCTTAAAAACCTTCAATGGTAGCAATTCCACAACCTCCCTTTGAAGCCTATTCCAGCGGTTACCCATCCTTATAATTAGAAAGCTTTCCTATTATCTTTCCGAATAACTTTTCCGAATATCTAACCTAAATTGTCCTTGCTGCAGATGAAGCCTTCTTGCCATACCTTCAGTGGACATGAAGAACAATTGATCACTGTCCTATTTATAACAAATCTGTGCATATTTGAAGACAGTTATCAGGTTCCCCACCTCAGTCTTCTCTTCTCAACTGTCCCACACTGTTGGTTCGTATTCAATTTGTGATCCACTATAACCCCCAGATTCTTTTAACCAGTACTACACCCTACCCAATATTCCCCATTTTGTAGCTCTGCATTTGTTTTTTTTCTTCCTAAGTGCAGTATTTCGCACTTGTTTTTATTGAATCTCAATCTTATTGATTTCAGACAAATTCGCCTTACTAATTATCCATACTAAATATTAATATATAGGCTATCTACTGCTTCCCTTTTATTCACTAGGCCAATAACACCACCAAAAAAGGCAATTAGGTTGGTTTGGCATGATTTGTTCTTGACAAATCCAGGTTAGCTATTCCTTATCACCCTATTATCCGCTCAGTGCTTACAAATTTCATTGTTTGATAATTTCTTCCAGCATTTTTCTAGGTATCAAAGTTAAACGTCACAGTTCAGGGCAATGGCTCCTGTATTCTCCCTTTGTGGCCCATGAAGGGCACCCACTTTAGGCTTCTGGCTCCTCAGCAGTCACCTCTCTTGGGCAGAGACCTGTGTCCCTCTCCCTCCTAACTGAGGTGTCTCCAAGCTGCACAGTTCCCTGGCAACACTGCATTATTCCCAGCAAGCCAGACTGCCAGAACAGGCCAGTACCTGCATTTTGCTTCCTCTTTGAAGGCTATCAACAGTGTAATGGCACATCGCCATAAGTTACCACAAAGATTTTTCTAAGCAAGCACATTTATTCTTAAGGTAAAAGCATAACAGAGGAAATATATTAAAAATGGTTAAAAAAAAACCTACACTACTTTTAGGTAAAAATTAGCTAACTTTGCAAAAGGGCTATGAGGGTGAGAAACTGTTTTAGCCAAAGGATTGTAGACTGTTAAGTTTTAGTCATTAAAAAGTGTGTTATACTCTGGTTTTATTTGTAACCATATTCTGTTTCTCTTGCTTAATATCACTTGAATCTCTACTCTTATTAATAAACTTATTTTGTTTTATTATAAATTTATCTCAGGTGTGCATCCTCAGCTGAGCCAACAGGCTGGTGTATATACTCTCTCTTTGGAGACAGTGGAATAGATAATTTCTTTGAGTTTCCAATGACAGGGGCTGGATATGGCAGGGGAACGCTCTCCAAGGGAGTTCAGGAACTAAAGTGCACCAAGTGTTACCTGCAAGCTGAAATAAGGGCTGAAAGGGTCCTGAGGTGTTTGTTGGGCTAGCTAACAGTCTGGAGTATCAGGGAGCTGACACACAGTTTAACAGCAGCAAACCTCTCTCGCTGAGGCAGAGGGGTAACAAGGTGATTTACAGTTCTGAACACCCCAAGAAAGCATCACAATTTTACCTCTCAATTCCCTGAGTCTGTTAAAATCTGTATTTTTGACGTCCATTGTCTTTATTCTGCTGCTCTCACTCCCTTTCCTTAGAATCATGAAATCTATCATTTCATGATCACTTTCACCCAATTGCCTTCTACGTTCAGATTTGCAATTAATCCCCTTAGTCGGAAATTCCTGCAGAACTACGTTCAACTACAAGCAGCCATTTGTTATTAAAATATATTTTTATATCCATCAAAAAGCTAACCGCATCTCAATTCTAACCATTTCACATATTCATCTTTCAAACTAATGAATTATCAAAGTTACCTACCTTTTACTCAATTACTTATTCAAAGGGTGAAATTTGTATCAAGGTTTTGGCAAAGCTTTAATCTACCCAACATCCTACATCTTACTTTAAATCTATGTTTAAATTACAGTACAGCCCCACACTCACTGTCATAGGGCACAATCCAGCTCCCAGTAAAATCCATGATACGCTCCCATTGACTTCTTTGGAAGCAAAATCTGGTCCACTCTAGTTCATAATTTATGTTCTAAGTAATTATTTCCCGTGATAAAGTAATCTCCAGTAATCTACATATATTTTTCAGAGGAAGACACAAGAGCAAACAGTTTCATTCTCCTTAAGATGACAATAAAGACTAAAGCTGTAACAAGGTATGTCCTAACCACAAAACACGTAAAGAGTACATAAAGCTATCATGGCCCATGATGAGTCCCATGAGTAAAAGCAATGAAAAGATCAGAATACAAATCTTCCTTTTCACTCGTACCGAGTATCTAATGGAGTTTAAGGGGAAATTATTCATTTTAATTCATACTAAAGAGCAGTTTTGTATTTCAGAATGGAAAATATGGCAAAATAGACCTGTATTGTGATTTTTTTGGTACCAATATACTTTTTTTCTCCCCTGCAGACTTAACACAGTACAATACTAACCCACTGGATGAGTGGTTTTCAACAACAAAAAAACAACCTACAATGGGAGACTGAGCACTGAGATCTAGGTGATGTTTGATTAAGAAGTTATTTGTCTAGAATTTGTAAATGGGAACAGATTTTTTGGGGTGGGAGGATCTATTTAATGATGGAGAACAAATTTTATAGCTTGGCTCTGTGAGTGACAAGTGCTTCCAGTAAAGCTAATAGGAGTTGCGAGTACTTTTGAAAATTTGGGCCTGATTTGCCCAACATCACACAGTAAGTCAGAGGCAGAGACAGAATAGAACCGAAGTCTCCTGACCCATCCCCCTACTTTATTAATGTGCCAAGATTTTTCTAACTTTACATTTATAAATTTGAGGAACTTGCTTGACAGACACAGATATTCTCCTTTTTGAATTTGTGAATCCTCTTTCCCTTATATACCAACCAAGTATTTCTTTGCAAGGTGGAGACGTCCCATTTAACAACACTTGCAGCAGAATCAAATCATGCCACTTCCTATCAAAACAGTGCAAGAATCCTAGTTCTATGGGAACAAGTGTAGACAGAAGAGTAGTCAGTCATTAGTATTAAATTACAGTGGGACCACTCTGAAACAAACAAAAGTCCATATAGAACTGTAAGACATCTACACCAATGTCAAAAACCTTTATCACAATCAGTGTTAAGTCAAATATCAGATATTAGAAGTCAAGCATTCTAAGTGTTCACAAATATACAAGTACAATAAATAAGTTAAAATGTCAACATGTATTTAGAAGTTGTATTTTATAGAACTGATGTACCATGTACTATGTATAAGCCTGCGAGTTTGTCATGGAGGTCACGGATTCTGTAACTTTCCACGACCTCCGTGACTTCTGCAGTGGCTGATGCGCCTGGCTCAGGAGCGGCTCAGGCAGCCCCTGCGCTAGGCGCACCAGCTGCTGCTGGGGCAGTCTAGGGCCCTTGTGCCCCACCCCACCCCAAACCTCCCCCCAGCAGAAGAGATTGGGTGTGGGAAGGGGTTGGGGCAGGGGACAGGGTGAGGTGGGCTCTGGGTGGCGTTTACCTGGGTTGCTCCCCGGAAGTGGCAACATCCCCCTTGCTCAGCTGCTAGGCAGAGGCATGGCCAGGCAGCTCTGCATGCTGCCTCCGCCTGCAGGCGCCACCCCCGCAGCTCCCATTGGCTCCCTCCCCCCCCCCGAAGTTTTAATCACCGATATTTTTAGTAAAAATCATGGACGGGTAACGGACCATGAATTTTAGTTTACTGCCTGTGACCTGTCCATGACTTTTACTAAAAATACCGTGACTAAAATGTAACCTTAACTATGTACCATGAACTGATATATAATATATTATTGTAGTACATGGTATATACCAGCTAAGCATCAGATAAAGTGCATTATTGTTCACCATACTATACCACAGTAAGTTGTTCTTTTCTATTGGAAACACTGACTTTTGATAACAACAAGCAGCAATGTGTTAAAGAGCTTCATGTCATCTTATCATAACTGGGACCCAATTCTGCTGCCTTTATTTAAGCTGAGTTTCAATTGTACCACTTGCAAAAAAAGGTACTTCTTAAAACAAGGATGGCAGAATCCAGTTTAAAAACAATCCACAATATTATATAAAGTATAAATAAGGTAGCATACATACTTCTCTGCTTGTAGCTTTGTCGTCTTCACCATCAGATCCTGAGTCTGTTCCTTCGCTGCCTAGAATATAATTTGTATCACTGTAGCTATATGAAGTTAACATACAGTACCAAACTAACTCCATTTCTACTGTTTTTAAATATACTTTAAAAAGCCCTCTAATTACAAGCCATTTAAACAAAGTACTCTTTGAACCGCCTTGTTATAATAACAATTAATTGATTATTTCCTAGTTTTCAATATTTAGGCATTATTAGGCATAAAAAAAGAATTCAATTTAAAATTCTTGACCTGTGCTACAAAACCATTTCAACACATATTATAATTAGTTTCAATTATTTTATTTGGTCCTTCAGTTGCAAATACTTTGTGCTACAAAGGAGTTGGACATGCTCATCTGAATGCAAAAGGGCTCATATCTATTCAGCCCTGTTCTCTGGGCAGCCTTTAAGCATAGTGCACCCAGCATAGGCTCTGGCTGCTGGGCAGTGACAACCCAACGGATCCATTAGGGCTAGCCCCCCAGGTGACAGCCAACTGTACCAGAGCTGTGGCTCTTCTAGTGTCAAAACAAAACAACACAGGAATGTGACTTTGAGCCATGAGGTAATGAGCTCTATTTTATTACTGTTGGTCTATCTGTGCTCCCTGTAGAAACTGTGGATATCATTCCAGTGACAGAGGAAACCCTAAAGCAAGATTTAGGCTGAATATCAAGAATAACTTCCTAATAGCAAGATATATTCAGCTGTAGAACAGAATAGAAGTAGTGGAAAAAGAACTAGAAAGATATATGATAAGAAATAATCACGTAATCACAGAATCATAGAAATGTGGGGCTGGAAGGGATCTTAAGAGGTCATCTAGTCCAGTCCCCTGCTCTGAGGCAGGACCAAGTAAACTTAAACCATCCTTGATAAGTTTTTGTCTAACCTGTTCTTACAAACATCCAATGTCAGAGATTCCATAACTTCCCTTGGAAGCCTATTCCAATGCTTAGCTATCCTTATAGTTAAAAATCTCCTATATCCTAAAACCTAACCTAAATTGCCCTTGCAGCAGATTAAGCCTTCTTGTCGGACTTTCAGTGGACACGGGGAACAAATGATCACTGTCTTCCTTTTAACAGCCATTTGCATATCTGAAGATAGTTATGAAGTTTCCCCCTCAGTATTCTCTTCTCAACTGCATAACACTGTGAGCCACTATAACCCACAGATTCCTTTCAGGATTACTACACCCTAGCCAGTTTTTCCCTATTTTGTAACTATGCATTTGATTTTTAATTCCTAAATGCAGTACTTTGCATTTGTCTTTATTGAATTTCACCTTGTTGAATTCAGACCAATTCTCCAATTTGTAAACATCATTTTGAATTCTAATCCTGTCCCTCCAAAATGTATGCAACCCCTCCCAGGAAGCTGTCACCTGCAAATTTTATAAGCATACTCTTCATTCCATTAGGCAAGTCATTAATAAAATGAATGAATAGTACCAGACTCAGAACAGACCTAGGACTCCACTTGATATGTTCCCTCCCACCCACCCCCGTTTGACAGCGAACTACTGTGTGACGATGCGGTTCTGGCGAGACCCAACTGAGAGTGCCAATTCAGGACAAATTGCTAAAACAGGGCAGTTACAGCCCAAGGCTGGGGTTTCTCCACCTCTATGGCAAACCAAACCAGCCAGACAAAGAGGACTTTGGTTTCACCCCACTGGCTAACCACAAGTCACACAAACAATTCCCTTAGACACTCCAGTTTCCCAGTATCACCACCAGTGCCACTCATTATGGGGACAAATGGTTATGAAAACCAATATCCCAATACACACAAAAAAGGTTCTCTCGATCCCAAAGGACCAAGCGCCAGACCCAGGTCAATATATAACTCCGATCTTTCCCACAAATCACGCTGTTGCCAATCCTTTAGAATCTAAAATCTAAAGGTTTATTCATAAAAGGAAAAGGACAGAGATAAGAGTTAGAATTGGTTAAATGGAATCAACTACATACAGTAATGGCAAAGTTCTTGGTTCAGGCTTGCAGCAGCGATAGAATAAACTGCAGATTCAAATCAAGTCTCTGGAACATCCCCAACTGGGATGGGTCATTCAGTCCTTTGTTCAGAGCTTCAGTTTGTAGCAAAGTCCCTCCAGAGGTAAGAAGCAGGATTGAAGACAAAATGGAGATGAGGCATCAGCCTTTTTATAGTTTTTCCAGGTGTAAGAACACCTCTTTGTTCTTACTGTGGAAAACTACAGCAAAATGGAGTCTGGAGTCACATGGGCAAGTTCCTGCATATTTTGCTGAGTTACAAGGCGTCTCTCCATGGGTCAACTGTATAGCTGATGGTCCTTAATGGGCCATCAAGCAGGCTAGACAGAGCTAACACCTGGGAGGTTTCCCAGAAGCACAACATAAGTTTGAAATACAGACAGTACAGAGCCAATATTTATAACTTCAACTACAAAAATGATACACATATCTAGGCAGCCTAATCATAACCAGCAAACCATAACCTTGTCTTAGACACCTCATTTGACCCCCCTTTATACAAGCTTTGGTGCCACTACAGGACTTTGGTTGCAACCATGTTCTATATGGTTCCAGATTATATCAACATCAACAACCTAGGACTCCACTTGATATGTTCCCTCCTTCCTCCCGTTTGACAGCGAACTACTGATAACTACTTTTTGAGTATAGTCTTTCAACCACTTTTGCACCCACCTTATGGTAATTTCATCTAGATCACAGTTCCCTAGTTTTTATTATGAGAATGTCATGTGGGACTGTCTCAGAAAACCTACCAAAATCAAGATAGACCATCTACTGTCCCCCTCTATTCACTAGGCCAGTAGCATCAAAGAAATAAATCAGGTTGGTTTGGCATGATTTGTTCTTGATAAATCCATATTGGCTATTTCTTATAACCTTATTATTTACTAGATGCTTACAAACTGATTGCTTAATAATTTGTTCCAGTAACTTTCCAAGTAATGATGACTGTTCTGTAATTTCCCAGGTCCTCTTTATTTCCCTTTTTAAAGACAGGTACCATGTTAGCCCTTCTCCAGTTTTCTAGGACCTCACCTGCCCTTCATGAGTTCTCAAAGATATTGTTAACAGTTCCAAGATTGTTTCAGCTAGTTCCTTAAATATCCTGGGGAACATTTCATGAGGCAATGCCAATTTGAATGCATCTCAATTATTAATATTCTTTAATGTTCTTTCCCTATTTTGGCTTATGTTCCTTCCTCATTGTTAATATTGTGTTAAGCATCTGATCACAATTAACCTTTCTAGTGAAGATAGAAGCAAAATAGTCATTAAACACCTCAGCTTTCTTAATGCCAGCCGTTATTAACGCTCCTTCACCACTAGGTAGGAGACCTACACTTTCCTTAGTCTTTCTCTTGTTCCTAATGTATTTAAAGAACCTCTTATTGCCTTTTTATGCCCCTTGCTAGGTTTAAATCATTTTGTCCCTGAGCCCTTTCTGATTTTTTTGCTGTTGTTGCTGCATGTTAGTGCTAGTCTTTTGTACTCATCCTTAAGAAATTTGTTCATGTTTCCACTTTTTGTATGATTCTTTTTTGAGTGCCAGGTCATTGAAGAGCTCCTGATGGAGCCATATTGGCTTCTTCCTTTCTTTCCTTTTCATCAGGCTAGTTTGCTGTTGTACTTTTAGTATTGTCTCCTGAACTACTTTACTGCTAACATTTTTTCTACCCAATGGCCCTTACCTACCAGTTATCTGAGTTTATGGTCTGCTTTTTTGAAGTCCATGGGTTTTATTCAGAAAAGTAGCTGAGGGTTAGTGACAGAATATACCCATGTTCACATCCTACACAGTGTTGTAATAATTTCTGTACAAGGCATATCTTGTCAGGTATCATTTCAAAACTCAATTTGCTGATCAATAATACCATGACAAAATGCACATAGCAGCATTATATGTGAAGACATAAACACAAGCTGAAATCATGACTAAAAGTATGTTTGCCAGCTAAGTCTGGGGAGTGGCCAGAGACACAGGACAAGCTGACACCTTAGCCAGTTATAAACAAGGCTGACAGACATTACTCACTAAGTAGCCATTCTTTGGCAGGAAAGGGGGCAGGGGCAAAAATCTACATCTTAGCAAAGCAACAGCATGGAGTTTCCTTCCATGCAGACTGCAGGTTGCCTTGCTCCCAGCTGGAAATGCTTCTCTAAGGGGGGAAAAGGACTATAAAAAGAAGAGACAGACACCCACCCGCCTTTCCCCCTGCCACAGAAGAGGCAAAGGATGCAACCATTGGACTCTAGGGGAGGGGTCCTAACCAAAAAAGCTTAGGGATAAGACTGCTGGAAGCATGTAGTGAGAAAACTTTGCTTTGAATCTAATGTAGTTAAGTTAGGCATCAGTAAGCATTTTATCTTTATTTTTCTTGTAACCACTTCTGACTTCTATGCTCATTGCTTGTACTCACTTAAAATCTCTCTTTATAATTAATAACCGTGTTTTGTTTTACCTGATCCAGTGTGTTCAAGATGAAGTGCCTGGGTAACCCCATTTGGGGTAACAAGTTTTCTGCATAATATTCCCTTAAAGGAAATAAGACTGAATATATTTCTACTGTCTTGGTGTAGCGGAGTGGTTACCCACTCCTGCCCTGCAGGGCTAGAAACAGCCTAGGACAGGGCTGTGGCTGGGGCAGAAGCCTGGGCTGATTGGGGGAAAGTAGGCTCAGCTGGGGCCATGCCCCAATCAGGCCCAGCTGGCCCTATGAAAGGCAATGCCTGTAGCAAGAGAAGGGCCTGGCTGTAAGGTGCTAAGAAGGGAACCTAGATTGGAGCAGGGCTGGGGAAAGACCTAGGGAACCAGGGAGCTCCGACCTAAGAAAGTCCCAGGCTGCAGGTCTGGTAAGGCCCATTAGATATTGGGTTGCAGGGGGGCAGCCCATGGGTAGGCAGAGGCAGCAGATCCAAACCCCCTTTGCCTATGATGAGTGGCTTATACTGCAGTCTGCCCCAGTGAATGGGGGCTAGATGGGGACTGGCAGTAGCTGAA